GAATCCTTCGAGTGGTCTGGCTCAAATTCGAGCAGCTTGCATTACCTTTTGAACCTTTTGAGGCTATTGCGTTCTGTTGAAACGATCGTCTGTAAAAAGGGGTAGGTCCGATGGACCCTTTCGCGCAGATTAGTGGAGAATCCTGTAGGCTATAGTGAAAGGTCACGATTCGAAGGGTCTTCTATGGTGTTCAACGATGGTTATTCAATACCGACCCTTTGCAAATTTTTCAATCGAACCATTCTTGAGGTTTCAACCGGGGCTGGCTGCTTGTTAAAACTATATTTTTGCGACCGGCCCCGCCAGGATTCAGGGGAGCAAACATTCCGCAAAGAGCATTCGCGTAAACTAATAGCAAGTTTTACACAGGAACGCCTGCGAGATTTTGCATACATCACGCCCGCATATGTGGAAACGATTCTCACGCCGTACCACCAAATTCTAACTTAACTTTGACATATATCTTCGTGTGATATACAGAGTGAACCACGTAAAACAGACCTAATTATCCTCTCTAGCTATGATTGTAATTTAAATGATTTCAGTGGGACTTATCAGAATATCTTTCTCCCATCTTATTCATCCTTTGAAACCATTTAAATCAGGTCTAAAAATTTTCTGGTATCACCATCGCTGCAGAAGGTAATTAGGTAGTTTGTCGAGTAACTGTATTATTCCCAGTCACAACGAGGAAAGCAGATTTTGAATTGACAGATAGCCGGGAATACGTAATTGAAAGAAGACGTAAAAAGGCGACTGTCACTGCTCTTTTCAGCAACAAGTTACGAATTTAATGATCACGATTCTAAAAGGTCCCAAAGAGTCTTGAAAGTTGCCTCGAATGCCTGGAACTTTTGTAAGTCTGGGAACTTTTGAAAAGTGAAAGTTTCCAAGGCAGTTAGAACTTCATTATAAACATCGCACCTTTGTCCAGACCGTTTCTGTGATCGAAGCTGCAGGTTGATTCTCTTCCTCCGGCGAATAGCAAACGACTGTACTATGAATTTTCATGGTCTCGTTAATCGTTTTTCCTCTCGTTTTTTTCCTTCGTTTCCCTTCTCCTACGACAAGAGAATCTCTCGATGATATGAATCAGCGAAAAGTCTAGGACGATATATTAGCGGGGTCCCGAGTTTTTCGCCAAGTAAAAGGTATGATGCGGCGAAGCTTTTTGTTCCCCTGGTAGCCGAAGGATCTTTCTAGCTGGAAGGAAGCCAATCGGCGAGCCTTGTTTTCCCTTTTTATTGCGAATGGCAAGAGCGTTCTGAGATGCGGCAATCCAATCGAAAGTGTTGCCGGAGATGTCGTCCTCGAGAACTTCCCTCCGCGCGGCGTGAAAATTCCATAGAAGAAATTGAAGTTGAATATCATGCGCGGTAGTCAGTTTTGAGATATACACCCTTCAAGACTCCGCTCCATTGAAATCATCGTGCAAATGCAACGAAATCTTACACTCCAAGTGTTTTTCTATGTCACAGCCTCCACGTGTCTCTCTACGCCATTCAAAAACAGCGGCATCCTTCATTCATTGAAATTTCACGCAATAAAGCCGGACTCGCTAGCGGGTGAAATTATTAATTTCAGTTGATGATGCTTTATGAAAATTGTAATGAACAGTACGAGGAATCCTCTATTTCATTCAATATCACGTTGAATGATATACGTTTGTAAATACGGGCGAGAGAGAAATTTCTCGTATAATACAAGGTGTATTACGCTAGCGGATGATATATTACAATTCCCTATTAATCGCTGTTTTCTAATCATTTTGTTCCAACTTTAATTCGATAAATTCTTCGAAAATTCCACATAATTCAACATTCAGAACTAAAGAAAAATTGCGATCTAAGCTGATTCGTTTCCGAAAGCAAAGAACAACCATGTTTCTCGATCCGCTTATCTAATTGCGAGACGAGAATTAAATGAATCTCGCAACCAGCTACTAGCAGAACGTATCATTTCGGCCACTCTGACTTGGAAAAAAAAAAGGAGGAGAGCCGGGTTTTGCCGGGGATCTCTCTAATGAATATTCAAACGAGAACGTAAAACTCGCACTCCGCAACGTTAGACGTTCCATTGACGCACGGCACCCGGAAGTGCCCAGGATTCGGCTCGATGAAAGCGAACCATCCGGTTCAGTCCGCTAGACGTCGAGTAGGGGTTGGAAAGGGGCTGCTCCAGAGGGCGCTGACGCGAGTTTCCAGCCGTTCAAATTTGCACACAGAGGGTGAGGATCAGAGAATGAGAAAGAGACAGGGATGTTTGCCCCAGCGCTTCGTCGACTCGGAAGGTCCGTGACTTTGCTGGCTCTTTATACTGGATTTTCACATCCGTCT